GTGACTTTTCCCTGGTGAAGTTATCCTTAAGGCCAATCAGAAATGGAGGTCTAACCGCGCACACTCGTGCCGCTATTTGACACGCTTTGCCTGGCACTTGCATTGTGAAGTGTGCAGGACCCAACCTGAACAGGACTCATAACCTCAATTCCCTCACCATGCCAAGAACTTCTGGCCTCAGAGGAGTTAGCTAGCAGGGAGGAGCCGCTTCCGCCCCAGTCCTGGCTTTGTTTCTCCAAGCCTAGCAGCAGATGCATGCAATGTCTTTAAGCAATGGAGTTTTAACATTCTTTCTGGAATGCAGCTGACAACTGTGGCAGAGGCCTTTATTATTTCAGGGGCCTTGACAACCTCTGAACCCACAACCGTGAGGAAAGTAACCCATCCTGAACACCGAGATTCGCAATGGTCTTACTTACGTGTCTGCCGGGGTGATGAAATGCCAAGGCCAAAAGTGATGTGAGGAGGAAAGGGGCTTGCTTTGCTTACAACTCCACATCACAGTTCATCACCAAAAGAAGTCAGAGCAGGAACTCAGGTCAGCAACCTGGAGGCAGGAGCTGCTTTCTTATAGAACCCAGGACCAGCAGCCACAGATGTCTCCACCCACAGTGAGCGGGACCCTCCCATACCAGTCACTAATTAAGAAGATGTCCTACAGCTGGCCGCCAGGCCTTAGGGAGGTCTGTTCTCAACTGAGGGCCCCTCTCTCAGATGACTCTAGCTTGTGTCAAGGTGACATAAAAACCAGCTGGCATGTCAATCAATCTCCCCTTGGCTGCCAGGAACATGTTCTTACCTTCTGGGCACTCTTGAACATTTGCAGGCGCAGGATACTGCAAACTTCCCCTAATTACCTTGCCGGTTATCACTTGTGCCTTTCCCAGACGCACCTGGAATTCCACAGTGACACCTGGCCTTTCCCCATGCTTGCTCCTTCTGCTGCACTTGCCTGTCTCCAACTCAACAAAGCACTCCAAGTTTAGCGTTATGCTACCCACACGTGAGGGAGGAGACCTTTATACGGAAGCTGGGCACAACAATGACGTGAAGCCTGGAGCCCCCCCCCAAAAGGCAGAGTGGGAGTGCTGACCCTAACCCTTGGTGAGGCACTTTAAAGTTCATTGTCCCCTGGGAATGGGAGGCTATTACAGAAGTTCAAACCCACAGGCGACCTTGGCCACTTCTTCAGGGGAGTATCGAGGAAGATTCTCATCCCCAGACCTTCCTTTGCAAGGGGCGTGCAATAGGAATTGCCTACAACTTTTGGTCACCTGTCCCCTTTATTCTTGGAACAAATTTCTGGTCTGGCCTTAAAGCCCTCCATAGGCTGACCAACACTGTGTTCCCTTGCCCACCAGTTTTGTCCCCAAGGACTCTGGCTGGGTGCAACTAAGTCCAGCCACACCTGGATTTGGAAAACGTGGAGAGGCACTTGGCCTGGCTTGCTCCCCTCTCAACCTGCTCCCTTTGCTTTAGCACCTTGAAAACATTTTGTATTTTACATGTGGACCCAATATGGTTGGATTGGTCCACTTCATGTGGGTCCCGGTAGCTTGACTGCCACTGATGTCCTACACCGGTCTCACAGCCCTGGTTCGATTGTTTTCTTAGTCTCTGGTAAATACAGTGCTGCCTAGGTGTGTGGACTGGCCATCAAAAGCCACTTCCCAATAGCCAGTTCCTTTAGTAGCTGCCCTTCTATTGTTTCCCGCTCCCCATATCCCTGAGGACCTCAGCTAGGATAAGCACTACTCCCTAAGGTTTATGTGAGCCAGTCCACCAGTGACCAATTACTGTGAGATAGCTTTAGTCTGTGAAGACTTTTCCTCAGGAAGGAATGATTGGGTTAGTTATATTGCTCAGCTTTTCTGCATCGGCAACATCTGGCAACATCTGAACCGATCCCGTACTGCCCACATTGCCCACAGTCTCATAAGGCAGGTGGCGAGGGGCTACTCCACCGCTTCTCCAGCTCCTGCCACGGAATATTCCGATTACCGTAGTCTCTGGCTCCAGGCCACTGTAAGACCTCTGTCAGCCTACTACTGGACAATATGCTTTTTCTCTGGGTTAAAGCTAGGTAGGCCCTAAGAAGCGTCTTCTATTACTTCTAGGCAACCCCCCCTTCCTCCCTGACTCCTCCCACGGGATCTGGTGTTCCAGGAAGGGTTCGGTAATTTGGGTTCTCTTCACCCTTTGGCTATAAAAGGCAGGTGAATACCTCCATTTTCCCTCGGCTTTCATCCAATTTAACTGCGAAATCGGAGGCCAGTTGCTGAGACTCCAACCTTACATCCATGCCTGGCTCCAATTCCCTCCTGGTACCTCCGGTTGAGCGGCCTCTGCAGCTGCTTGCTGATATTTTTGCCCCTGGTGTACTACTCCGAGGGCTCGTAATGTCTGCTGTAGACTTTTGGTAGTTCTCAGAGCATCTCTGCACACCCATGTCAAACCTCATCTATCAATCAGACTTAGCACTTCATGCCTAGAAGACTGTCACCCTAAGAGTACCCCTACAGACAGCCTCTGCCCAGGTGGCCTGCCCATAGTGACATTCCACAGTATTCTCTGCCCTGTTTATGTCCCAACCACTACACCTACTATCCTGCAGGGATACCCACTATGTCAAGATTTTCTTTACAGTGATCCCCCAAAGTCAACTTCATTTCTGTTGTCCATCTCATTCCCCGTATTAGGGACAGCACCGTTTGCTCTTCTCAAGCTCATTCTCAGTTTTGTCCTGTCCAGCTGTCTAGCCAGGCATTTCGACAATTACTTTCCATGGGGGAGACCTGGGCAACGCCTCTCTCCTCTTCAGGTTCCAAGGACAAACCAAGGCAAAACCCCTACCAAAGTTCACTCTGGAGGAACTAATCAATTTATTGGGCTTACTTACAGAGGGTTACTTACTGGAGTATGGGGACTCTCCCCACCACAGAAACACATCTTCCTTTCTCTCAGCCCAGACACGAGCTGGAACATTGCTTAACATAATCTACTGCAGACCCTTGGGAGAGGTGAGTCTACAAGGGCTAGGGGCATCTCAGGATGCCCAAGAGTTTCATGCTGAGCCTTTAATCCCAGCACTCAGGAGGCAGAGGCAGGTGGATCTCTGTGAGTTCAAGGACAGCCTGGTCCCAGTAAAGCTACACAGAGAAACTCTATCTCAACAAACAAACAAACAAAGAGTCATGATGCAGAACATTCTGCACACTACTTTAAGCATGAACCAGATGTTCACTTACTTTCCAGGACAAATTGTCAGGGCAAGCATACATCTATTAAAGCGCACTCCTGAACTCAATACCATCAAAACAGAAACAGGTAAATTCTCCCAGACACCTCTGGTTTTTGTGTTAATCTCATAGGCTCACTGAAGAGATTAACCTATAATCTGTTTACTAAATAAGGAAAATTAGAAACAGAGGGTCCCAGAACAGGAGGTTTGCGGGCTTGAGGACAGCTAAAGATGACATCTAGCATAACACTTGGAAAGGAAAATTCAAGGACATGTGACACCGTTACCTGACGTGGTGATGTGAAAGGTGCTGCCTAGTGATTTATTATTGTGTGTGAGTAACAGTGTGCTGAAGGCTATAGGACATTGCAATGTAAGTTCTTTGATATAAAAACGAGCTGGCTAAATGTGGAAATTAAACATGGTGTCAAAAGAATTTATAATCATAAATGCATCAAAATGTTCAGAAGTTGCTGTTAATCCTGGTTCAGTCAAACCATTTTATAAAACAAAGTCAGGTGTCTTATTTTAAATAAAGAAACAACGATAGCTCCACAGAGTGGCTCTGAGTGTTAATTGCATGCAAGTGCTCTGGGAAGCTATCGAGTAGGATACAAACGCCAATGATAGCTCACTCAACTATAAAATACATCTCCATTTCTCCACCCAACCATCTCCCCAGGATGCTGGGTAGAAGCAGGTGACTCTCTAATGGAAAAACACCAATTTCTAAAATTTAGAACCCTTGAGAGACAAGGAAAATGAAAAAAAAAAAATAGTAAAACCTTAGAAACAAAGAGGGTAGTCTAGATTAGTGGTTCTTTTGTTTAATTATTGTTGTTTTTGTGTAATTATCCTTTGCCTGACTTTAGAAAAAAGCTTTGAATATAATGCTAGTCATAACTAGAAATGCCTGGAATTTATAAGAACAGATGAGATGCCATTTTGTATATTTTGCCAGGCTAACATTTTATTCAATTAAATTATTAGTATTACCATTCATATGTATACTTATTTTTCCTATAAGTGTGTAAACTTCTACTAAATATATTAACTACAATCAACTACTTGCAATGCACTTTATCATATATTGTTTATTTACAATGAATTACTTTTGGATTTATAGAACCTATAAGACAAAAATTACAGTAAATCTTTGATGAATTACTGGCCTCAAAGAAGAGATTATACATTTATTTTCTAACAGGAGGGGCTAGAATCAAGTAAATTATTTCACAAGTGTACATAAAATATAAACAATATTTGATGTTTTGACATCACGTGGAAATATCACATACAGTCACTACTGATAACTATAATAGTAATAATAAAACAAGGTAATATTTATCAAATGGCTATTCTAAACTTGTAATGGTCCTAAGCATCTCACGTGGACAATTTCATTTAACTGAATACTTCAGATACTTGTTACTGCATATAAAAAGGGCTACACGGAGAGATGGAAATACAAATAGTCCTTCTTTTACCAGATACCACAAGGGACTCTTGAGTCAACCTTGTGTTGTTGTGGCTGTTTCTATTATCTGTTCTCTGTGTCTGTAAGAGCTTAATGTTTTCTGTATGAAGCAAGCTTTGTACTCACACGGTTTTTGTTTTCCAATTTAAATTTGTTAAATAAGTGTTGAAAAAACCCACAACCGAGGTTTGTATGCTTTCTTCTTAAAGTTTAGCATTGTACTTTTCAACACGTTGGGATTTTTTCCTATTGGGCTTTGGTCTCTGTTAGGTTGCCTTTGCCCTAACCTTCATCTTCTTTCTCTCCTTCCTCAATAGTCTCTTCTTTCTCCTCCGCTTCCTCCTCCGTTCTCATTTCCTCCTCTGTTGAAAATACTTTTCCCTCAGAAAACATCTGCCTTTCTGCTGAGATATCTGGAAATTGAGACTGCATTATCAAAACAATGATGACAGAGAGCAAAAAACATGCTACTCTCAGGAAAAGGATAAATAAGCATAGAGGATCACACACAAGTGGGCGGGGCACTTCCCAACGTGGATACCAGAACTGGTAATCTGTAAATTAAAGAAGCAATTGAAGAGAGCTAGATTCCATAAAATAGTTTGTTTAAGAAATAAAGGACAATGATACATACATGTAGCTTGGTCACGATCTGCATTGCCTAGAAAGAAAAATAAAAGACTATAAAGAAATACATATATATTTTTTTCTACCTCTGTAAGAATTTTCCCATTAGTACTGCTACCATTCTTCATTCTCTTAGAATCTAGGGCAGTGGTTTTCAACCTGGGGTTGCAGATCAGATATCCTGCATATCAGATATTTGCATTATGATCCATAACAGCAGCCAAATTACAGTTATGAGGCAGCAATGAAATTAATTTTATGGATGGGGGTCAAAACAACATGAGGAGCTGTATTAAAGGGCCTCAGCGTCACGGAGGTTGAGAACCACTCAAGTTTTTGATGTCCTGTTCCAGCTAGGCTAGTAGCCAAACATAAGCCTGCAATATTCTTTTCAGTAGAAGCCAGCCTGGTTGGCTAGAGACATGCAGGGCTAAGGGTTCTAGCACTGATGACGTCTCCAAAAGCACGCTGTCCCTTAGCTATGCACTCCAATTCTGCCCTCAAAAGACCCTTCCCACTCTACAGGGAGGCGGAGAGCCCCAGCTCCCCCATCTTCCTCCGTTTGCCTTACTCCAGACTAATATGGGCTTACTTATTTCTCATGCAATTCTTAGTTTTGGTTCATTTTCATTTCTTAAACAGCAAGATGAAGTCGACCATCTGGGATTCGTTGATTTTAGCTGTTTTTTTTTTTTCCACCAATGAGATAATTACATTTGAAAGGAGACACATTTCTTTTCAGCTGTTCAACTGGGTAGGGAGGGTCAGGGGTCAGATAGTCACTGTCTTTTCTTTTATTGAAAGTAGATTCTTCTCTCACATAATGCACCCTGACTACAGTTTGTCCTCCCTCTTCTCTTCCTGGTTCCTTCCCACCTGTCCCCCCCCCCCCCAATCTGGATCTGCACCCTTTCTAAGCCGATCATCATTGACTTCCACTGAGACAGTATAAATGAGTGGACATGTGTGGAAGGCGCACTGGCAATAAGGGCTTTGTCATGCACTGATACTGTTTCTGCGCTGAAATTTAGAATTTATTTCTTAGGCTCCCTGGAGATGACCTGAACTCCGTTGCACCTGTGATGTCATTTCAGCATTTTGTTTTTGGTCCTTCGTACTTTATGTGGTGACTCCTGTACCAGAGCATCTTTCAAAGAACAAAAACCCTTCTCTACATGGCATGCAGGTGCCCTTCCTGCTGCATGGGTATTGCGTTTAAGGATCATTTAGTAGAAGCAGCCATGTCGCCCATCTTCACGTGTCACCATTAGTTTACATTTATTGCATTCTTTTTTTATATTTGTATCTGATTAAACATTTAATCAAATTTAAATTTGTTTATAGATATGTTGATTATCTGCTTTTGAAATAAAGATTTTAGTTTATGTGTGTGCTTACATGTGATACACATGCATGCACGCATACATGCATGTGCCTGTGGAGGCCAGGTGTTATGTCTCATAGAACTGGAGTAACTCATGGGTTTGAGCTTCCTGACCATTGAACCCTCTCTAAAACCCATGTCTATCAGCTCTTAAGCCTCAGTTTCGGCCCCTGGATATAACAGATATGAAAACACAAATCTACATATTTTTCTCCCATTGTCAAGCTACACACTATTTAAGGAGTCAGTTGTGAAGTTCTCTCAGAGATTAACTGTTAGTTCCTTAATTCTGAGATCCTTTTATTTTCCTAGGGGAGCAATAGGAGGGCCAAGGAGGGCAGAGAAGGGTCTGCAGTGTGGAGGATACCTACAGGTGACTCTGTAGGGAAAGCATCGGAGTCGGGATCACTATTAACAGCACAATAAGGCCAGTGCCAACCACCTTGCTTTCTTACTGTCTTACATCTTACAGATTTATTTTATCTTACTGCATAGAAGATCTGTGCACTTGTCATCAGAGCGACACCGGGTACAAAATGCCCCTGCCTGATAAGGCCTCCTCATCTGAGTTCCTCTAGAAAAAAGCAGAAAGTAAGAAAACGCTCAGTTTCTATGGTATTTAATATTCATTAGATGCGTGTTAATTACGTTATCGATTTACGTCAATTAAGTGATGTTTCCACATTTAACTACTTTAAGAGGATGATCTATGAGTGGCTATATGTAAAGATATTTCATGTTAATGTTGATTGCAGCTCTGTTCACAATGCTGCTATGGAACCAACTTCTTTATCCAGCAACAGCCACCTAATTGGGCTAAAGCCCTGACTGACAGGAAGAAATTCATGCCTGGACTGTATCCTGAGCCATCTACCTATGGCTGGTGAGACCATGGAACCCAGAGACTGCCTAAACCTGTTGAATCTTTAACTGCAGTCAGCACACTCATCCTTCTAGACACAGGTAAGTGCTGTTTGCACTCTCGCTGACAAAGCTTCTCTAGGCAGTATGGTTGTCCATGGTGGTCAACTTGACTCCATCTGGAATGAACTACAATCCAGAAATGGAAGGCACACCTGCGAGAGACTTTTTGCTTGGTTCTAAGTGGGTGAATCCACCCTGAGGTAGGAAGACATACACCTTTGATGTGGATCCTTGGGTGGGAGACACACTTTTAATCTGGGCCACACCTTCTGCTGGACATGAAAAGAGGGAACTTGCTTTTTGCATGCTTGCCCTGTCCATGCTAGCATGTCCATTTTGTCACTGGCTCAAGAGCCTGCTTTGGGATCGATCCTAGCATCGACTGAAGACCAGTTGAAAGATTCAACCTTGTGACTGAGCAACTACTGGATTCTTGGACTTCTGTTCACAGCCAGTCATTGATGGATTAGCTGGACTCACTATAACCTTTAAGTCATTCCAACAAACTATATATATATATATATATATATATATATATATATATATATCCTGTAAGTTCTATTGTTCTAGAGAACCCTAGAGAACCCTAATATAGACACCATTACGGAAGGTCACAAATGGTCCAAATGCAGAAGTCAATTGACTGAGGGTTTCCTGCCCCCAGTTAATACCTTTACAACACAACCTCTAGCTAAAGGCTCAGGGAACTTCAAAGAAAGGGAGTAGAAAGACAGGACATCTGCTATGAGATAGTTTTTTCTAAAAACAAACAAAAGACATGGGCTGGGGGGGGTAGATGGGGGGGGGGAGAGGTCTGCTGTGGAAGTAAATGTGAACAAGATACAGTGTATGAAATTTCCAAAGAGTCACTACAAATATGTGTATAAAAGATTGCTAAAAACAAACCACAAGATCCTCTACCTCTGTATATGTAAGTCTGTAAGTCCTGGGCCATTGAATATTATGGATTTTATTAATGATTCTCTCATACAGAACAAAGTAAGCTTGAGATAATCACTAGTATGTTTTAAAAGCAGAGTTTTCTTTGGTTGATTACAGCAGAGAAATCAAACATTTGAAGTATGAGGCTTTGCCTTAGCTTACCCAATGGTGTGTGTGGGGGGGGGGAGGGTGTATTAAGGAACACAGAGCTTGTAGCAAATCAGAGAAATGCTTGGCCGACATTTGGGAAGCAAATGGGAACCCGAGCCCCACAGCTTCATGGAATTGAATTCTTGGTAACAGCCTGAATGATTTTGGAAATGAGTTTACCCCATTGTAGTGGACACACTGATTTTGATTTTTGATGCCCCCATTATGTGGCTGAAGTCATGAGTCTTGATAGTAAGTGGATGCTCTTCATAAGCACCGTGTTTGTGATATTTAACTGTGCAGCATTAGGAAGTCAGCCCATATGCTACGACCCTCTTCAGACACCACTGGGTATGTCGGCACTAAGGGGATGCCCTGATTGCATGTGCTTTCTCTCTGTAGCCACACTCTACAGAGTAGTCTTACAAAAAACCGTTCTTTATAAAGCATAAATGAGATCATGGTAGTCAATTGTTTATGACCTGCCAATGACTATGCCAGTCCCTAGAATCAATTCCAGAAGCTTTACCATGCTATTGTTTTTCTGTTTGGTCTATTTACCAACTACTCTTCACCCCAACCTCTAACCAGAGCTACCCACTTCTCAGCTGTGTTACATTCACACAACTTCAGAGGATTTCAAAAATTAAATTATTTATGTGCTCTCTCTCTCTCTCTCTCTCCCTCTCTCTCTCACACACACACACACACAAACACACACACACACACACACACACACACACACACACACACACACACACACACGGGGATGCCATGGTGTGCCTGTGGAGGTCAGAGAATAATTTTCAGATTTCACGTTGAAGTATTCTTATTTTATTTCAGTGTTGTTTACTGCTTTAGAATCACTCACCCTGGTGCATAATTGCATATGAAAAGTGCTGCGTGTTTGACATTTCCAACACTTGAACATGGAGTCACAGCACAACCAACTTTGTAGGAGCTGTCCCAAACAAGCTGAAATAAGCATGCCAAAGAAATGTAAAATCTATATAGAAGTATTTGTGTCACATATACTATATTCTATTCACACAGGACCTTTAACCAAGAAATTCAAGGGCTATCAAAACTTGTGTTATACCCAGGCAAGGCCATGTATGTACGTCAGCGTTGCCATAGTTTCATATAATGGAAAACACAGAAGAGGGACAATGCGGAGGCAGCAGGCATCTCATCTGATGAGATGGTTTGCCTCCGCCTGGTTAAACTGGACGGTTTCAGTCTTTGGCAGCAAGGAAGAAAGATTAGAGAAAGAAGAGGGAAAGTTTTGTAAAAAGTGGAAGTTGCTAGTAGAAGGGAGAAAAGAGGAGTAAGAGGCAGGGAACAAGCAAGATGCAAGTGTAGCAATGACAACAGCATCTATCTCTCCTCTTGCAGAGGAAGCTGGATCACAAAACTAAGCCAAGTATGGGCTTTTCATTAAGAAAGACCTAGAGGAGGTAAGTGGACCCTGAATTACAGGGGGGGAAAAAGAGACTTGAATAGCGAGAGACATTCCAGAAAGTCTATGTGTGATCTCAGTATAAGTAAAATTTCAAGTGAGGAAAAAGGCCTTCTTTTGGGAAGGGGAGTCATTCCTGTCTCCTATCCAGTTTTTAACAAACTTGTTGTTTTAAAATTTCAATTCTTAAAGCAATATAGCGATATATTAAAGAGCAGAGACAAAAATCTAAGGGCAGACCATTTGTCAAGAAACATGTGTGAGGCCCTGGGACCTATTCCTACTACTGCAAATCTAACAAAATAAAATAATAAAACACAGGAGTTGAGCAGGGTGTAGCAGGTCCAAAACCAGGAACAAGGGTGCCTTGGTGACTTGAATCACAGAAGAGAAACAATACAGTGACATGAGTGGGGTAGAGATCACAGCAAGGAGTCTAGCCGGGCTATGTGGAAGGGGGGGGGGGGAAAACTGATGAAAAGGACTGATCAAAAACCCTGTGAAGATGTGGAGAATTCATTTTCTAGAGTACAAAGAGTGCAGTTCAAAACCATGAAGAAATTTCAAAATCATGTTTTACATGAAATGTGATAGCTGATTGAAGCGGTCATCTCTTAAATAAATTCATGTTCATTCAAAACCTCTGATTTCTGTCATAAACACTTATTGGAGAAGCTAATCAGGGTCATGTTTCCGGAATAGGTAAAAACACAAGGCCTCTGCCACTTCAGTTACTGTCTAAAATAATAAAGGTGAGTACAGAAAATTAAAGGTGGCTGAGAATTCCTGGAGTGCTGGGCACGGGTGGTGGAAATAACACTAGAAGTCAGCCAACTAGTTATATAGTCTACCTACTAATATATGGGGAATTAGGACACCTTTTATGCTTGCTCACGGTCAGTAATTTGTAAGTCATTTTCTTTAAGAGTCTTCCTACTGTTTCTATCGTGTACTAGTTTCAGAACAACCCCCTTGATCTGGAGGTATGCAGACAATGGTTATTTCTTGTGTGACTCACAGAAAGGATGGAATGGTGGGCATTTAAAGACATAGAGAGGATTAAAATTTGTATCTTATCTAGGGAGTAAATTTATAATTTGAGCTTATAAATTTAAAATGGAAAACTAGGTAAAGCAATTAAGAAATCTACTAATTTAAATAACAACATACAAATCAGATACCTGAATATAATGAGAACAGTCCTCTTCAAAGCAAGTGTCATTGTGAAAATTGTAATTTTTCCTTTCTTCATGCCAGCTTCTGATAGCGATACTTGCAGTAAATTCATGTTCAGGACCAATCCACATGTTTTCGCCAATATCAGTAAATACAGGGTGGGACCCATGCCCTTTGTCTAAATAAATATTATGCTGATTCATACATTTTTTCCCCCATGCTCTAGCAGTACGTGATAAAGCTACATCCCAAGTCTGAAATGCACAAAAATAAAAAAAAATCAGAGAAAACAAAATAATTAAAAATAATGTTGCTTTAATGTTCTAGATTACTTTCTTGATGTTTACTATTTTGGGAAGAACTAGACCAACCTTGAATTATCCCACCTCCTTGTTTTCTAAGCAATATTTGTAATAAAAACTTTTTTCCAGGTCATCAAAAAATAATGTGACCTCTTCCTAAGACAAAAGCCTGTGAATTTGTCTGTAACTGAAATATTCAAGTGAAAGATTAAACTAATCATTCTAATACTATTTCATATAGCCTTTTAAGGATTACATAATACAACATACAGCAGTTTGATCAGAATACACATGTTTAATGTTCTGTCTTTTGTGCCTATAAACTGAAATATCCATCTAATAACTATTAATTTTATATAGAATTTTTTTTTTCAGATACAAAACGAGGTCAATGTACATTTGGTCTTTATGTTGTCAAATTCCCAGCACCAAGAAGGCAGAGACAGGAGGCTTGCTAGGACTTCCTGGCTGCCATTCAAGCTGGAACAGGGCACTAGATTCCAGGAGAAATCTTGTCCTACAGGAGTAAGGTGGAGAGACGGACACCTGACACCCTCTCCTGGATTCCGTTTGGCCATGCACTTCTGGGCTCACACACAAGCATGACACACGTGCACATATACACACATGTGCGCGCACACACGAACACACACACACTCACAAGCATGCGCAGGCACGCACGCACACACACACACACTACAGCTGTGTTAAGCTCTTTTGACATGTAAATTTCCTCATAAAACTTCCCAATAAATGCATCCAATTGCAATCTACTTACAGAATCATGTGAAATTCCTTTCCCACAACCTTTCAGACAACTTTCTATATTCATTAAGTTCTTACCTCAAAATCTCCTTTCTCATCTTTAGCAACCAGTTTACTTTAGAGAAAAATCATGATTTATCTTTGAGCATAACATAGTGGGCTGAGAGTTATTTTCCAAGCACCGTGTATCCTACATTCCCTTCTTACTGTTCACACACAGACCATCATTTCACAAGTATTCCTTACTTTACAGAGTGCTCAAGCTGACAATCATAGATGGAAAGCTAAGACTTAACCTGCCATAGTTTTAAGGTAAAAATGTTATCAAAAAGGTTTTGGAAATTATTATTATTATTATTTTTTTAGAAAGACATTTAAACATTTAAAAAAAAAATAGGCATCCTTTCAAGTTATTTTCCTATTGCCATTCACTGGCTGTCAGCACAGCAGAACAAACTTTGAGCTTGGTGACAGATGCTGTCTCAAAAGAATAAGGTCAAAAGCATCAGAAGAAGACACTGGGTGACCTCCTCTGGGCTCTATATACTTACAAATAAATATGCGTGTGTGCGCGCGTGCGCGCACACACACACACACACACACACAACTGCACACATGTATAAACACACATATAGCACACAACAAAGGCTTTACTGAGAAGTGAAGGTTGTCCTGGATATAGAAATCTGGAACTTATCATTCATACCCTGACAGAGAGAATATTACAGGATGTATTTTTGAAAGCAGGAAATTTAGAAATAAGATTTGAGTAAACAGGTCACAACATTAGCATGCCCAATTACTTGCATTTATAGACACTAACAATGAACTATCTGAACAGAAAAATTGGGCACAGAGTTCCACCATAACATTAAAAAAGTAATAATAACCTGTAGTGATATTTTGTTTGTAATCGAACAAATAAAGCTTGCCTGAAGATAAGAATGCAGAGCTGAGCCACTAGTTAGACACACACACACACACACACACACACACACACACACACACTAAGCCACTAGTTAACCACTAGTTAACCACACACCAAAGCCACTAGTTAACCATAGAGGACAGGCAGTGGTAGCCCACACCTTTAATCCCAGCACTCCTGAGACAGAGGAAGATGGCTCTCTGTGAGTTCAAGGCCACCCTGGTCTACATGGGAGTGAATCAGTCTAGAAAAGAAACAGAGCTCACACCTTTAATCCCAGCATTTGGGATGGCATGCCTTTAATCCCAGCACTAGGGAGTAATGTAAGGGAGGAGCTCAGTGCAGTCTCAGGGCAGTCTGAGGTTTGGTGGAGAGCATTGCAGTCTGCAGTCACGCTCGCTGAGGGCAGGATCAGCCCCTCTTTGATCTGAGCCTTAGTAGAGGGAAGAACTCTCTAGTGGCTTGGCTGCTCTTTGCTTTTCTGATCTTCAGCTTGACCCCCAGTATCTGTCTCTGGGTTTTTATTATTCATGCTACAATAACCTTAACCAAACTGAACTTTTTTTTAAAACCATAGAATATTGCTAAAGAAAATCAAAAAAGGACTAATGAAAAGACCGGTATCTATGGCCAGGGACTGAGAGACTTAATTAACATTGAGGTGCCCTCACTACACAAAATATTCTGTAAAGTAGTATGACCCCCACCAAAAGCTATTCCAATAGACTCTTAAGGGACACTGAATAGAATTAAAAAAATAACATAAAACAAAATAAAGTCCCGAAAGAAAACAAACTGTGAAGAGGGCTTGGCAGACTGGAATGAGATAAAGAGCTCTGAAATAAATTCCTAAACTCACACATGAACGTGGTTCCTACACAGGCTGCCAAGATCAATTAATGGACAAAAAGCAATCACAAATAGATAGATCAAAGTCCTAGATGTAAGACTTGAAATTATGTTTTGTTTTTTATTGTTGTTGTAACAACAGTTTAAGAAAAATATAAGGGAAAACTTAATAGATTTGGATTTGGTAATGCTTTTTCTAAGGCAGTACCAAAAGCATATGGATGAAGGAAAAAGAGTAGACCTCACCAAAGTTTTAAGACATTTTACTAATGTTTATTTATTTTTACATGTTTCGCCCGCATACACACATGTGCACCACCTGCATGTATGATGCCCACAGAAGCCACAAGGGGATCTTAGAGCTCCTTAGAACTTGGGTTACAGTAGACTGCGAGGGCTGGGAACCAAACCCAGGTCCTCTGCAAGAGCAGCCAGTGTTCTTAAGCTGAGGCATCTCTCCAGGTTTAAGACTTTTACTATAAACAGATAGGCAACCTGTTGGGGGCATAGGAATGTTAAGTACACGGAATGTCTTTCCAATGGGAAAGATGACAAACCTGTTCTTCCATCCAGAAAACCGAGAGTTGGCAGTGGTTAACAAACAGCCTGGTGATCTGCATTATCTGTTGGGCCAGGCTGCATCAAGCTCTTACAGCCAAAACCCAAGGTGGATAGTAATCTAAGTGACCCTTAAAGCCAGAGGCTCTCCCAAGCTCCCTTAGCTAGGATTGAGTTGACTATTAACCCAATGACCTCTATGCTACCTATATGACTGAGACCAAGCCAGACCCTGAACCTATCTATATCTTGGAAGAAATGACATGTATACTGAGTTGAATTCAATGTAATTAAGCTTCCTTGTGCGCCAGGAAACGTCTCCCAAATTATACTGGGAGTAAACACACTGCCTGTGATTAGACTACCTGGAGTCTGATCAAGGTTGACAAGGTCAATCTGCAACGGTTTTCATTCTTATCTCTTTGTGTGGTTCAATTTCCCTGTATGACACTTGCACGGACTCCCTCAGCATGTTAGACAATGACAGAAGGCCTCCATAGATTCTCCTCTCCCACACACTCCTTCCCACCTTGGACTTGCTCTGAGCCTGTCTCCCTCTACTGTGTTCTCTTCCTCTTTCTGGGTAAGGGACCCAAAGCAAAGCACTGGAGAAAGGGCAAAGGAAGGGGAAGAGGAAGGAAGAAAATAGTGAGACACAACTCACACCAGCTTTTATTTAGCGTAAAACAAGTAAACTTACGCTAAGCCTAAAATGTATCATTTCAAAATTTTAAATTACATGATGCAGGCTTGCAGGTCTAGGGCTTTCTACTCTTTTTTATTTAAATAGCTTACGATTCGGAGATCACAAACAGAGCTTGCAAAGGTTGTGCTAGAAACCAGTGTTTACTCATGTTAAACTTGTCGAGACAGTAACAAGGAGTAGGAAATAAAACGCTGGCTGGGGAAGAAAACAACAAAAACAAACAAACAAAAACACCCATCAGCAAAGAAGATTATATGAGGAAAAATAATGACTTACTGACTCTGCAAGGACAGAGAAGGCAAACAATGGAATCAGCATTTCGGAAGGTAGCATTAGGCCCTAAGAGATGGCTCTGCAGCTGAGTTCCATCCCCAGAGCCCACAAAGCAGGACAGAACAAACTCTGCAAGTTGTCCTCTGAAAGCCACATGCTTGTCACAGCTTGCACGTGTACACGTGTGCACGCACACACACACTTATAAAATAAAAAATTAAACCTAAGAAAGGATTTTTCAAAATTTTTAAAAACCCCTCTTCATAATCAATTTAGCAAATGATTGAAAATATTAAAGATGAGCCGGGCGTCAGTGGCTCATGCCTTTAATCCCAGCACCTAGGAGGCAGAGGCAGGTGGATCTCTGTGAGTTCGAGGTCAGCCTGATCTACAGAAAATATTTAAGATGTAGAAACGTAACACTTGCCTGTTGCTGGTATTTGCTTCATTTCCCAGAGTCTTTAACAATAGTAACTGCTACATTTCAAATTTTTACTTAAAAAATTTTATACTGTTAACATTCTTCAAAAATTTTTGTTGACAGAAAGTACATCTGTGTGAGGGCAGACTTGTGTAATTTATAATGTAAACTAGGAGTGCTTAATTGGTTAATAGGGATTTTTGCAATCATTTTTAATGACTATCATGGTATCTCCCAAGCAGCAAGGAAATAGTTGATGTTGAACAGAAACAGGAAAAGAAATATGGTAGTTTTTCAAGAGACAGCAAAATATGGGTCTGTATTAGGGTGTTGGAGTCTCAGGACACTCCTTCCAAACCCTTGGCTTCTCCATCCTTATAGTTTCCATGAAAAAGATTCTGAGAGACAGACACCTCGTAAGTGCAGAACACAGGGAGAGCTGCCAGGCTGTGTTCAAGACAGAGGGTGGGCAAAAAAATGCCAAAAATGCCAAAGGAACCATTGACCATTGTACCAATCTACCTTTTAGACAGGCTTTATTGACCTCTAGTCTTTAAAACAAATAGCTTTCCTAAGGACAATCTTCCTACTCAGATGTTTGAGAAGCCTATTTAGACTGGCAGCCAGGAGTTGGAAACATCCTTTCCTTTTTCATATTGTGTCCTTGGAAATGAGTTTAGATAGTACCCACTTAATGACCATTTGAGCACTTCAGGAGTCACATCTCCTCCCAAGGCTAGATATGTCTCAGGTCCGGTTCCTCTGACTGCAGCCCTTGACTTTAGAAGCTGCTGATTATGGTAGCGTCCCCCAGCCCTCCAGTCTTCTGACCCTGGTAACACCAAGCTATCTATCTAACAAGGGGGCTAAGACAAGCCCTCGGGAGCAAAATTCAATGCAGTGATAAAAACAGACAAACAAAACCCCTAAAAACACAAGGAAAGAAACGGAAAAGCAAAGCAAAAACAAACAAACAAAAAGCCTAATAAACAAGTTTTTGTTTGTTTGTTTGTTTTGGTAGAATTAATGTGAAAACATTTACAATGGGGAAAAAAAATCCAAAATTTTAACTGAAAAGGATCTCTGACTTTGTATTTGTACTGCCCCGAGTGCCTCACTTTCACCTAATTCAGATCCAAGGATTCTCTCTTAGTTCAATATTGTTAGTTGACTGGCCATTGATAAGGTTGCATTGACTCTTAATGCTTGGAAAAAATAAATAAACAAAACCCCGAAACAAACAAACAAACAAACAAGTTGCATTAAAATACAGCTTCTAAATTGGCGTCCCATAAAATTTGCACCCCCACTCGGTCCTACGGAAAACCGTGCAACCGATCCTGTATCAGAGCGGCAGTGGTCACATATGCATTTTAAACCCCAAGTACGTGTGTTTTCTCCGCGTTTCCCCACGCTGAGAAGTGTCCCGGGTGGTGGGAGGTTTGGGAAGCATCCTCCGGGCCTCACCATGAAGCGCAGGTTAGACCCTTGGGGGAAGACGGAGCCTCGCAGCTCATTGTGGAGATTCACGTACTCATTGATGAAGTCCACATCCTCTTCGTGAGGCAGGGGGTTGACATTCAAGCCAGGGCCCGTCAGGAGGAGCCACAGCTCACACAGCCACAGCTTCAGCACACGCCCTAGCGTCCGGGGATGCGGCTGAGCACCCCTAACCACAGGCCAAGGCAGGCAAGCCTTCATGGTCCCTCAGCAAGGACAAGCCAGTGCACATGCGCGGGCCCGCCCCCGTGACCTGCCAATCTACGGGTAGGCAGAAGGCTCTTAGGTGGGAAGAGAAGGAGGGGCGAGAAGAGGGCGGGGAGGAAAAGCAATCATGGTACACATCTGCTCACTGACCCAAGTCAGGCTTGAGTTAAACGAGTACGTGGTGGTTTTTTTTTTTTTTTTTTTTTTTTGTTTTGTTTTTTCTTTTCTTCTCTAGATAATTGAGCATTATCTAGAGTTGATTTTTGACACTGAAAGGTGTGTCTTCATTTACTGATGTAGTAACCTTAGTTTGTGCCCCAAGTGTTGAACGCTTAACAAGTCTGAGATACATTGTAACTATGCAAGGGGGAATTCAGTCATTCTTCCTGTATTAGTGACCAGCTTCCTGCTCACTTTTATTTATTTACTTATTTATTTATTGTTTTTTATTTTTGTTACCTATTGAGTTGTGGGTTTATTTACCATTGTCTCTGTTAGGGACAGAAGATTCTCTTTAAGTCATATATATATATATATATATATATATATATATATATATATAGAGAGAGAGAGAGAGAGAGAGAGAGAGAGAGAGAGAGGGAGAGGGGGGGAGGGAGAGAATTGTTAAAAATTATCTTTGATTCACGTGAAGAAAAGCAGTTAGCCTGCACAAGATGATTTCAATGGTGCCTTATTCTTTCAGTGCATATAATGAGGCAACATATTACATGATTGAGAAGGACCAGTAGACAAGACTTAGCCCTTTCTCTCAACTGCGAATAAGGCAACTTTGTATTTGGAAGATATTTTGAGACTTGCATGGGGGCAGTTTATCAGGCATATTTTCTAATGTAAAATGGTGATGATATGCCTGATAAACTGCCTGGGCAGCTTGTGTTATTACTGGACATCTCACTTGTCTCGATAAATGTTTCTTTATACTTCAAACATGTTAGAGCCCAGATTTCTATAAAAGCTGAGCACGGTAGAAACAAATCTATCTTAGCAAATTTATCTTAGCAAATTTGTCTATCGCTATTTTAAATAGTTTGAAAATATGAACTCAGTCAGAAGATAACTTTATGAAATACTTATTTGTATCTCCTCAAACAGATGGAAAATCATTGTGTGTGGGGGGGTGTCAAATAATTTGTCTAAAGCAATCGTGCCATTAAATCTTGTGCTGATATATTATTTGTGATTTATATTATTTGTGATTTAATAAAGCCACTGGAGATCAAAATATAACTAGCCACAGCCACAGAGCCAGGCAGTATTTGATTCACAAATTAAATCCCAGGACTTGGGAGATAGTGACAGACGGATATCTATTAGTTCAAGGCCACACTGAGATATATGAAATTGATGCAGTCTAAAAGAGAAAAAGCTCACACAAAGGTGATTTCAGTACTTGGGATCACAAGCCTTTAACCCCAGCACTTGAGAGGCAGAGGCAGGCAGATCTCTGTGAGTTCAAGACCACCCTGGTCTTGACTATACGAGAGTGAATCAGAGCTCACACCTTTAATCCCAGGATTTAATGGGTATAAAAGAGACAGCAAAGGGTCTCATGTGAGGTTTAGTTTCCAGACATGGAAAGCATAGGATTTCAGTGTGAGGCTTGGTGGAGAGCAGTGCAGTCAGCATTTTATTGAGGATTCATGAGGACAGGACAGCCCTTTTAGCCTGAGGCAGAGGTAAGAGCTAGTGGACAGTTGCTTGCTTTTCTGATCATCAGCTTGAACCCCAATCTCTGTCTCTGGATTTTTATTATTCATGTTACAAAATCTTGAAGGTAATTTTTACTTAGATATTTCTTTAACAAAAGATAGACTCTTTAAGAGGGCATTGGTGGTGCATGCTTTTAATCCCAGCACTCTTGAGGCAGAGGGAGGTGCATCTCTGCGAGTTCAAGGCCAGCCTGGTTTACAGAGCTAGTTCCAGGACAGGCTCCAAAGCAACACAGAGAAATCCCGTTTCAAAACAAAACAAAACGAAGAGGCAATTTATAGGTGGAGAAATACAGATATGTCTCATGTGATCTTCTCTGTCCTTTCAAAAACGTGAAGCTTTCTCCGTTATGGTGATGGTATGTTCCTACAGTGCCATGACTCAGCAGTCTAAGGAAGGGGAATGATGAAGTTTAGAGTGGTATGGGCTACACAGCAAGTTCAGACCAGTTCGGGCTACATAGTGAGTCTGTATCTCAAAGCAATAAAATGAAAAACCCTCCCCAACCCCACTTTCATTAACTATCCTCCGTGTACTACCAAAACAAAACAAAACAAATACACTAGACTGTATTATTTGTTACACTTGATGAGCTCATGGTGGCATGTACTGTCCAGATTGCACAGTTCACATTAAGGTTCATGATGGAGGCAGTACTTCCGTGTATTTGGACAAATGTATAATGATGCATCATTACACATTACACACCCTTAAAATTAATAATTTTAGTGTTATACAGAGCACTTTCTATGCTCAGATTATTTATCCATACCATCCATATCTCCTTTACTCCAGCATCTTGGCAAACACCTATTGTGGAGAAATAAGGAGTAAATATTTCACTACAAACATTCTTTTCACAATTTGTCTTTTCAAGAATGTTGTACAGTTGAAGTCATGCAACATGAAAGCAGATCACATGACACCTTTCTCGAAGGGTTACCCTAAAATTCCTTCCATGTCTTTTAATGGTTTGATAGCTTTTTTTTTTATTTTAACATGGTTATATTCCATTTTCTCAGTGCAAAAAATGTATTCCTTTATCCATTGAAGAAATGATATACTGTTGCTTCCAAGTTTGGGCAGGTATGAACAATGCTGCTACCAACATATGTTTGAAGATTTTTGTATGGAAATTATTTACAACTGTTGCAGGCAATGCAAAGGAACATGCATATTGATCCTGTGGCAGCAGTGTGCTCAGGATTGTTTATTATTGTTATATTGTTATTATCGTAATTATTCATAATCATTGCTGTTTATGTGTCTGTGCGTTTGAACACTTGTGTCACGGCACAGGCACGCATGTATAGGTCAGAGAACAACTCTGAGGTGTCTTTTCTCCCTTTCCACTCTCATGTGTACTGGATGGAGTTCATTCAGGTCAGCAGGCTTGTGCAGGAGATGCTTTTGACCTGACAAGCCAGCTTACAGGTCTCTATGATCAGTTTTATAGGAAACGGGCAGACTGTTTTCCTCTGTGTACCCTTTGCCTTCCCTCAAGGGTTGGATGAGAATTTCTGCTGCGTTCACACTTGGTGTTGACAGGTTCTGGAGATTTTAATAGGTGTGTGGATCTGCTACGTTTAGTCTTCCTTTTCCTGATGATTTAGGACATAGAATACCTTTTTATATGCTTTTATTGTTGTTGTTGTTGTTGTGGCTAAGGACTTGGGCCCATTCATTTTTTTCTACCAGTTTAGCATTAATTTCCGAGTTTATGTATCTTGGAAAACTGTCACTTATCAGGTATGATTTAAAAGTATTTTGTCTTCTTCCTGCTTTTGTCAGAAATTTAGGGGTCTTTTTAATTTCAGTGAGGTACAGCTTATCTCAGCTCTTTCTGTCACAGATCATGCCTTTGGTGTTGTGTGCAAAGATTCATTGCCTAATAGACTGAGTTGGGAAGTAGTTCCTTTTCTTTTTGTCTTCTACCAATGATAGTAGATCACTGTTACAAAAGCATTCCTTTTTTTGTTCATTTGTTTTCCAGGACAGAGTCTCACTGTGTAGCCCTGGCTGTCCTGGAACTCACTCTGTAGACCAGGCTGGCTTCAAACTCAGAGATTTAGCTGCTTCTGCCTATGTATAATAGCACTCTTCAGCATTTGTTAAATTTTACTAGTGAATTTATCTGGGCTTGATGCTTTTTGTTTGGGAAACTAGTTGATAATTCCTTCAATTTATTTAATAAGCATTTGCTTATTCAGATTTTCTGTTTCCTCTGGAAGGAGTTTGATTTGGCTATTAAAATTTTATGAAAACTAGAAAACTTAAAATATATTTTTATGTTCATTTAATGAGGAAAAACAAGGACTAAATCTAAAAATATACAAAGGTACGATTTTCTTCTCTGCTTCAACTTTGTTGACTCTTTTTCTCAATCTTTCCCATTTTCTTTTGGTGTACGTGTGTGGTGCATGTTAGCCCAACATGGGATGTCTTCCTGTATTGCTCTCTACCTTCTATACTGAGGCAGGGTTGTATTGGCCAATAGGAAAGGAGGGACTAGGAGAGAAGGAGGAAAGAGGAAGTGGTAAGGAGGAGCCAAGATGGAGAGTCTGGAGGAGGCAGAACCACCAGCCGCCTTTTGCTGGTAAGACCACGTGGAAATACATAGAAATGGGTTAATACTTAAGAAAGAGCTAGCCGATAAGAAACAAGTAACTGGCCAACAGAATTATATCAAATACAGAGTCTCAGTGTGTTAATTGGGGCTGGCGTGGCGGCGGGACAAGACCAGGCAGCGGGCAGAAAAACCATACTCCTTACAGCAGGGTCTCTCAGTTAAACTAATAGCTTGATGATTGAAACTTAGCTAGCCAGCCTTATCTTTTTTCTCTACCTCCCACATGATGGGATGAGGAGGACTGCCACCCATGGATGCTGAGGATCTGAACTTTGGTCTTCACATGTGCACACACCCACACACAGACATACATCCATATGCATTATTAGCAAACAACATTAAAAATAAAAACACAATCTTAACCTTAGTCCACTGCTTCCCAATTTCTTTACTAATGTCTATTTATACATATGTATGATATATATACATATATATATATATATATATCCTTTTTTAATTGAAAAGTAGACACTAAATTTAAATTTCAAACAAGAATGTAGAAAATGTAATGGAGAACTAAACAGGACTTGAGCTCCAATTAGTCAGAAAATAATCTTTATTGTAGCATTTATAAATTTTTTTCTGAATAGAAATAATAATCAAAATATTCTGTGAAGAATAAAACCTAGCATGA